ATAAAAGAAACAAAAACTGAAATGAAATAATTAATTGAAGGAGTTCAAGTCGGGTGAATACGCTAGCCATTCATTAATTATGAAGTTCGGCTTATAAAGCGTTATAGGATTCCCCACTCCTTTATTTTTAATCCTAACCTCTCTTTTTGTGAAATTCCACTTTCACTTAACAAATCAATGAGAAGTCTTTACTAGAGATCGAAATGCATAAACCATCCAAGAACACGACAAAGTGGTTGATTTAAGAATACTAGTAATCACTGTTATTCGTCACTTTGGCCACATAAAACTTCCGAACCACTTTAACTTTTGAATTTGACAAAATTAAAGGTGGTTCAGAATCATTTAAAGGGTGCACAGTTGTATTGAGGAGCATGAATGCACTTTAGTTTCATTTTCAGTTTTTCCTTAGTTTCGTTTTTCTTTTAGCTTTTCCGAAAATCCGTCTTCTAAGACGCCACTGTAACCAAGTGAGTTGAAAGTTGGCAAGTGCCTGTAAAAAGATAGATAGGTCCCCATGACGGAGCCCGATTTTTTATTTATTCTTTTCCTGAGTTAAGAAAAAAATATCATTGACAAAAAGTTGCGGTCCTTCTTTGGCTTTTGTGATTTTTCCAATGAGAAACGAAACAAATCAGCGTATCTGTCCTTCACAACGGAAGTGCCGGAAGTGATATTTCGCGAGGCGCATTTTGTTTTCAGAGTATTGATCTAGACCTTCTGATTTTGTTAGATCTCTCAAGATGTATTGCTCCTTTCCAGTAGAGTGTAAAAAATAGTAGGCCAATGACTTTCAGTTGATATTAATGCATTAATCATTCCTTTCATCGAAAGGGGGCCCAGCTAGTAATATTATATTTATGTAACTCGGAAAGCGCAAAAGACAACAGATCACAAGATACAAACGTCGCAGCAAAAACTAAACTTAGGATGTCGTTGCTCTATATAAATCAAATCGCGTAATGGAATCGGGGGTTTGACAGACAAAATCAGGTGCTATTTTTCCTCATCGGTGCTGAAAACCTTAATTAGGGGGACTTCAAATTACACTTTGAAAATACATTTCTAAACTGATTTAAAGAATAAGATTAAAAGAAAATGAAAGATAAATGAATGAAGAAACCAATCATGATAATATCTCAAATTCGACCAAAATGATGAAATTTGACTTTGGAAGCACATAGCTCAAGACTAGAGCCAGCGACTTCCGACGGGTTATCCCAGACGGCCACACATATGTGTGTTAGCTGACCTTACCATAATTATAAGAAACCACTTTAAAAGGAGGGAATGGGGGCTAGCGGCATTACCTCTTTTAAAACCAAATGCACACTCCATGTCGTCCAGAATCACGCTGCTCGGTAAGTCCTTCGAAAGACACATAAGAGACTTGGCGTCACATCACTGTTCATACAGCATCCCCACTGGCTGCCAGTTCGAAAGAGAATCTTGTATAAATCGTACACGCTTCGTCATAAATATGTGTTTGTGTTTTGTTGTGTTTTGTTGTTGTTGTTTGTTGTTGTTGTTGTTGTTTTTAAATAGAGTTTTACGACCCTTGCAACACAATTAAGTCATATAAGTGACGAAGATTAGAGGTGTTACTAGAATCTATATGCAAAGAAAAGAAGGAGTATAAATAAGGAGTATGGTAATGCACCTCCACATTGGAAAGAATAGCTGACCCTGTTATTTCACCAAGACATCTGCCGTCATCCAAAGGCAAAAGTGATTAATTGTGAGGCATCGTGGTGAAATCAGGCGCTCGTCAAGTTAGCCTAATGCAATCGAAGAAGTTAATATTTCTGCCCTATTGGCAATTTTTATCGCATTTTTAATTTTTTGACTCGACGCCTTTAAGGTCCATTTTAAAAACACATTTCTACATGTATGTGTGTGTGTGTGTGTGTGTGTGTGTGTGTGTGTGTGTGTGTGTGTGTGTGTGTTTGTGTGTATGTGTGAGTGTGTGTTTTAATAAATGTTTTACGGTATTTCAACTCAAATAGGCCATATAAGCGCCTAAGATATAACACCGAAGGAAGAGGAGAGA